AAAAAACAAAAACGATTTTCGATTTTTCTGTAGTTTATATCACTTTTTTGCAATTTATGTAATTACTATGCACTTAATGATTGTAGTGCTCCTCCTAGGTTTGAGTCATATTTGTCGTTAGTGTGAGTACATGAGTTACATGATCAGCCCAGTTATAATAATGGCCAGCAGGGGGCGCTTCCTTTGCCTTCCAGTTGTAAATCTGTGACCTCAGTAAACAATTCTTTCATGAGTTTTTGGGTCAGCTGCTAGTTTGAAGTCTTATTGATAAAACTTTGTAACCCACAATAAAGCATGGTATGCTTTATTGAAGCTTCAGGACTAGACATCATTACTTCTGTCTTTTATATACAGTCTGTGTCATTAAGTCAATGCAAACGTTCAGTCAGCAGTGAAGCTCATCACTTATCCTTCTGCTTCAGCCTGAAACGCACCAAAGATCAGCTGTTTTGTTCCTGCTGTTTCAGGGTTCTCAAAGTTTGGCTCACGGGCTATAGGCGGCCTGTAAGTGCAACAAGTACAGACGCACTACAAGCTTTTCATTCATCCACAGTTAACATCATCCAGGTCAATCTGAAACAAGTTAACATTTGTCTTCAGTTTCAGGTCAGGAAATTTAACAGCAAGCTGTTCAAACAACAGAACGTAAACCAGCACAAAAATGACAATTCTGAACATAAACCACGATCTTCTGAGCAGATTACAAACTCTAATGAAAGGTTTTATGTTTCCTGCATTAATCACATGTTGGTTTTGTAATCGAGTTACTACAAAATGCACTTCTTTGTCTCCTACAAATTCTGTTCATGCATCGACTCAACCACTCGCTGAGTTTTCAGGCACATAATTGCCGTCTGAGTTTAACTCGCGAGCATCGTAGTTTCCATTCGCTGCGAGTAAGTACGCAGAAGTCACAGGAAGGTGGACGTGGTGGCTGGTGGGAGCAGAGTCCAGGGACTGCAAGTCCCCTCTGTGGTTACGCTTTAACAACAGAAGCACTTTAGTTAAGGTCGGGGAAGGATTGCAGTCTGGGTTAAATACAGTAAATACAACACACCATTTATTCCTATTAAACTCAACTACAGTGAATGAATAAATAATGTGAATACAGTGTTATATACAGTAAATCTGGATGCTGTTTTACAAGACTGGGTGTTAGTGTGTTAATGTGAACTTTAACAATTAAATACATTTTTTGCTACATTGTATCCGACAGCTTTCTGACTCCAGGCAGCTGCACCTTCCCGCCTTCTGTCAGGCTGTTGCAGCTAACTGCACCGTGTGTAGCTTGAAAGCTGCCTGTTCTCCAGTCTGAGGGCTGAGATTAGCTTCAATGTTTCCCTCAATTTAAAATCTTTTCAGTTCATGTGGACATTCCTTCTTTTTGACTCGGCCCCACCTAAAACAGACCTGCATATTTTTGCATTGTTTCACTCACTCGTTACACATTCA